AGTGACAAACAGACACAAACAGACAGAGGGAAACCAGGAATCCCACACAACTAGAGAAATGTTTGATGTGCATTATTCACATTAATCACGTATCAAAACAACAGTGCTAATTTGTCAAAATAACAGTGATCAAAATGTCAAAAATACAGTCCAAGTTACTTTAATAAAAAAGGCTTCTCATTGTCCTTAGTTGGACAATCGATAATGGAAGCACCTGAGGGCAGTAGCAATGGAGATTGGAGGAGGAGCAACAACACACAGGACTGAATTCAGCGGAGAAGAGTCGGGCTTGGAACCGTGAAGTGGTGGTGGTTGTGAGTGTGTGTGTGTGTGTGTGTGGGGGGGGGGTGTTTGTGATGCTTGACAGAAGCGAAGCTGCTTTATTCACACATAAGGAGAGAGCTGTTTTTGTTGTTGATCTCTAAAATTATTCTTGAATCAAGTGTTTACAAATGTAGGTAAACGTAGATGTTTAACAACCTGTTTAAATACACCAAAATGCAGGAACCCCTGCAACGCATGCCCCCTCCACACACACCCACCGGCTCGCCTGCCATATGTGTTCTGGCATCGATCAGTTTACAAATTAAGCCCTGGGTGGAGACCTCCGTGTTCAACTGTCCCCCTCCTACAATGCTGTTATTGCTAGTATCACTCAGCCCTCTGTGAATAGTAAACAGCCATCAGGACACTAATGATCAATTGTTAAGCTGATGGTCCTCCTTTTACATGTGAACAACTAGTTTTGGTGGTCTCCAGCAAACTGGTTGAACCACTATGAGAAGGTGCCATTTATAATACTGAGTTTTTTGCAGCTCCTCAGACTGAAGAAGTCTTCTGGATAAAAGACATTTCAACAAGAATAATCCATCCAGAAGAACTGACTTAACCTTATTAAACTTGTATAGAACCTTCTTTCTACAAGGTATCAATTTATTATTATATAATGATAAAACTAACCTGAGTTTGTCAACATTTAAAAATAAAACCATAACGTTCTGATCTGCAGAGAAGCTGTAGATACTCACCGCTATTTGCACACAGTCCTCCCCCACAAATTTGGGGATGTACTTGTCTCCCCGGGCCACTTCTGAGTTGTTTAGTGGCCTAAAGCGACACATCACCTTAATAGTGCACTCCGCCGGGTCTGCCATTTCTGTCGTCCTGGTGCAGCCTGACAAAGCAGAGCAGCAGGAAGAGACACACCACAAGAAGGGGTGGACCTCTCAGCTGCTGTTCAGCTGACTGGGAGTTTGATGGAGGAGGCTTCACTAATACTTAAAGAGACTGAATTAATTTTATTTTTCACTCTATTTTTAAGATTAGTGTACCCAAAGCTGACAGCTGCTGTTTAACCAATACAAAAAGAAAAAAAACGTCAGTTTTATTTGCTTAAAAATATTTGATAATTGTTTATTTTACTAAGCTAACATGCCAAGTCACTTAAAGACATATTCTTATATTTACAACTTTTAAAGGATTAGCTTGTCCTTAAAAAATAAAGTTTCTGTTCAGCTTTTGCACAAACTGTAAAAGTTGCTGTTACAGGAGCTGAACCAAAATTATGTCTTTGTATAGAGAGACATGGCTGTGTGAAACTAAAAACTATAACAAGCTTTTACTGTTATGATTATTGTTCTTTAATATTTTATATTCTAGAAGGTTATATTCAAATTAAAATCAAATCTTGGCTATTTTCTTTTCTTAACCTTTTATACCATTACAATTGAGGTCACAGCACGTTGATTAAAAATGTCCAAGCTCACAAGTTCTTCCAGCAGCAAAATAACTCCAAACCATAGTACAAGTTTCAAGGTTCTTTATTATTGTTCTCAACACATGTGGTACATGATGTGGAACACAACTGTGTACTCAATGTCCCACTTACACCCAAAAATAGCAAAAGTTTTAAATATAAGAGTAATAATACCTAATACCTCAACTGCTGTGCTTCATAGATGGTATTAATGAACTGCTCAAACATTTTCATTGTGGTCAGACATGTATGTAAGACTGATTTGACATGCACTCATGTCAGATTTAACTGCAGCCTATTTTATCAGCCCACCAGCTCCAGCAGGAAAATTCAAACATCCCTCTTCTCAACAATATCCTCCAGCTCTTTCTCAGGGATCCCAAGGTGTTTCAGATCAGAAAGGATACATAATCACTCTTGTAACATGTGAGTCTGATTAGGTTTAGGGCTTTCCTTTTTGATAAATCTTATAGTTAGGGTCAGCTTGACAGACATTTACACCTCTAGATGCAGGAAGAGGGCCACCTGCATCATGAAGGACCCCACTCACCCAGCACATACACTTTTTTGCCCTGCTCCCCTCAGGCAGGAGGTTGAGGAGTATTAAGTGTAAAACCACTAGACTGAGGAACAGCTTCTACCATGAGGCTGTTAGACTCATGAATATCTAACCAGGATAATCACTGTGAAAAATCACATGATGTTGCTGCTGATCTGTTTCATGTTGCTGTGTTCATGCATGCTCATCTGCTCACACAGACTCATGTTCGTGCTGCTGTTCGACGTAATGTTTTTATGCTACTAGTGCTTAGTGTATTTTTAGCTGATGTTTTTCTTAGTTCATACCTTATATCTTATTACTGTTTTTCTTTTACATTTTATTGTTGCATGTAACTGGGACACTGTGTACATAATCTCACTCCACCACATGTACCATATGTGGTGCGAATAACAAATACATTTCTCTGAATCTCTCTGAGCTTGGGTTTCCTGGACTATCCCTTAGTTTTGCTACTATAGGCTTAGACTGCTGGAGAACAAATTGACACATTTCTTCACTCATTTTTTTTTTTAAATCTTAATATGGATCATCAATCAGCATAGGTTTAATTGCTGCTTCCTTTTTATTAGATACTTTCATGTCGACCTGTTTAAAATCAGGTGCTCTAATATTGTCTCACCTGGACCAATGCCCACATGAAAGAGAAACTACAGCAGGTAGAGGACAAACTGGTAATGTCTGGGATTTTCAAAAACCATCACAACAAACCAGAATAAACCATCCACTAGGGAGCACAAGCCAGTGTATCTCTTGTGCCAGTCCCAAGCCCGGGTAAATTGTGAGGGTTGTGTCAGGAAGGGCATCCGACGTAAAACACTTGCCAAAACTATAATGCAAAATGGACTGTACTTGTATAGCACGTTTCTATCTTATCAAGACACACAAAGTGCTTTACAACACAATCTGTGTCCTCATTTACCCATTCATACACTAGATCTGTACAAAGCTAAGTGAACAAATCATTCTAAAGAGACTAATCAGTGACTAATCAAAAAGAAAACAAAACTATAAATGGCAAGTTAATCAAAGCGAAACCATACCGGATTGGTCAAGGCCCGAGTTAACAACGACCGACACCATTCTGTTGACAAACAGGGTGCCGGCAGAAATGGTGCAACTATTAGTCGAAGATCACAAGGAGGGAAACTTGTAGGAGACAGAGGGAGAAGAGGAAAGTGAAGAATGTAGGACTGAGGGTTGCAATTCTAAATGTGGGGACAATGACAGGCAAAGGTAGAGAGCTGGCTGGCATGATGCTGAGAAGGAAGTTAGATGTTTGATGTGTCCAAGAGACCAAATGGAAGGGCAGCAAGGCTCACAACATTGGAGCAGGGTTCAAACTGTTTTACCATGGTGTGGATATAAAGAAAAATGGTGTAGGGGTGGTCCTGAAGGAGGAGTTGTCAAAGAATGTAGTAGAGATGAAAAGTGTGTCAGATAGGGTGATGTGCCTGCAGGTAGAAGAAGGTCTGATGCTAAATTTTGTCAGTCATTATGCTCTACAGGTTGTATGTGATGTGGAGGAGAAGATACATTTTGGAACAACCTGGATGAAGTGATAGAGTATTCCCAGGGAGGAGAGAGTGGTGATCAGAGCAAACCTGACTGGACATGTTGGTGAAGGAAACAAAAGAGTAATGGGTAGGTTTGGTGTCAAGGAAAGAAACTAGGAAGGAGAGAAGGTGGTGGATTTAATCAAGGGAATGTAAATGGCTGTAGTCAACGCATATTTCCAAAAGAGGAAGGAACATAGAGTGAGCTATAAAAGTGGAGGAAGGAGTATGCAGGTTGACTACATTCTGTGTATAAGAGGAAACTTGAGGGAGATTGGAGACTGTAAGTTTGTGGCATGGGAAAGCATGGCCAGACAGCATTGGATAGTTGTGTGTAGAATGACTGTTGTTGTGAAGAAGAGAAAAAGAGTAAAATTAGAGAAGTAGACCAAATGGTGGAAGCTGAGAAAAGAAGAAGGTTGTGAGGACTTCAGAGAGGAGCTGTTAAAGGCTTTAGGAGGTAAGAAAGAGCTTCCAAATGACTGGGCTACTACAGCAACAGTAATTAGAGAGACAGGTAGGAAGGTACTTGGTGTGTCATCTGGACAGAGAATGGATGATAAGGAAACCTGGTGGTGGAATAGTGAAGTGGAGGATGCTATTCAAAGAAAGAGGTTAGCCAAGAAGAACTATGACGGTGAGAGGACTGAAGAGAGGAGATAGGAATACAAAGAGATGGAATGTAGAGCAAAGAGGGAGGTAGCTAAGGCAAAGTGGAGCTGAAGCTGAATGGGAGGCTGGCCACTAAAGAGGGCGAGAAGGACTTGTACTAATTGGCAAGACAGAGGGATCAGGCTGGAAAGGATGTGCATTAGGCTTGTTAAAGATAAGAATTATAATGTTCTAACAAGTGAAGAAAGTGTGATGAGAAGATGGAAGGAGTACTTTGAAGAGCTAATGAATGAAGAGAATGAAAGCGAAAGAAGAGTAGAGGTTATAGAAACTGTAGACCAGGAAGTGGGAAAGATTAGTGAGGGTAAAACCTTGAAAGCTCTTACAAGAATGAAGAAGGGGAAGGCAGTAGGACCTGATGACATACCAGTGGTGGTTTGGAAATGTCTTGGAGAGATGGCAGTGAGGTTTTTGACTCAAATATTCAATGGGATATTTGAGGGTGAGAAAATGCCTGAGAAATGGAGAAGAAGTGTGCTGGTGCCCATTTTTAAGAACAAGGGTAATGTACAGAGTTGTAGCAACTACAGGGGGATTAAGTTGATGAGCCACACAATTAAGATTTGGGAGAGAGTTGTGGAAGCAAGACTTCGACGAGAGGTGACTATCTGTGAGCAGCAGTACGGTTTCATGCCAAGAAAGAGCACCACAGATGCCATATTTGCTTTGAGAATGCTGATGGAGAAGTACAGAGACAGTCAAAAAGAACTTGATTGTGTCTTTGTGTATTTAGAGAAAGCATATGACAGGGTACCTAGGGAGGAGCTGTGGTATTGGATGAGGAAATTTGGAGTGGCAGAGAAGTACATTAGACTGGTAAAGGACATGTATGAGGACAGCAGGACAGTGGTGAGATGTGCACTAGGAGTGACAGATAGCTTCAAGGTGGAGGTGGGATTTCATCAAGGATTGGCTCTGAGCCCCTTCTTGTCCTGGTGATGGACCATTGCCCCATTTGCACCACTTTTACTCAGCCCCAACTGTGCTCAGCTTTCCATGGAAATATCCCTATTCCACCAATACTTTTTAGCTGATTTGAGGCTGATTCTGGACCTTTTTTTGTCCCTGCTTCTCTGGTGGTATTGAGCATGTCAGGTTCTGCCATCAGAAGTGTTGAAACCAAGTGCAGAAGGACGACAGGAGAATCGTGGAAAAAAAATCAGAAGTATTTATTTACAAAAAACAAAGCCGAAGCTGACAGAGCAGCATACTCACAAGTAAACAGGATACAGGACGGAAGGCAGAACACAACATGAGGACAATCCTGAGACAAAGACAAGACACCAGGGAACTGAATATATAAACACACACTGATTGGGACAACGACAGACACCTGCGGTGATTAACATGAGACACAGGTGAGACGGGCTGAACACAAGGAGGAAAACACTGAGCGGAACTGGCAACATGAGGAAACAGACAGAGACAGGACAAAAACACTACAGTACCCCCCCCCCCCCCCACACACACACACACACACACTCAAGGGATGGCTCCAGACATCCCAAGGACAAGATACATCCAACTTGGGTGGGAGGTGGGACAAGCACAGGACAGACCAAGATGGAAAAACACGGAGGACCAAAAGAACAAAAACACAACAGGCAAACC